CTCCGAAGAAACCCAGAGCCATAAAACCCGGAGCTGAAGAAGGATTTAAAGAAATTAACAGGACTACAAACTAGGAAAGACAGAACGTACACCACCAACCAATCAAACAACAGAGAAGTCGACCACGATGCAACGCATATCACAAACGGACCAATTGGAAGGGACAACAGTGGGCGGCAATTTCCACGGTAGCGTGGTCGTAGTCAGCAAGAAACGAAAACCACAACGCAACACAGATTATGATCGGCTCAACCAGAATCCAGGTACGACGATTATAAATGGCCATCCAGGTTACAGCACAAAAGCTGCTCTATGTAAACCATATAAACGCAAGCACGAATAGAGGGGCTACCGACCCAAAAGCGCACTGAAGATGTCGCCCTGAACGGCTACGAAACTTTTGAAAATTAATTGCCTGGCTCGGCGAACAGAGTAACAGACACTAACATGTTGGTAGGACTGGCTATCTTCCAAAGGGTCAAACCGTCATTGTAGAATACTATTTTAAATTGTCTGTTAAAATGAGCAGTGAAAAAAGATGGAAAGGAAAGTAGCAGAAGTGGATTTTCCTTCTACTTCTTTCAAAATGCCCATAAAACCACGGGTGATTGGGTGAATCTGGCATTTAGTTACGTTGACAGTTCATCCTATCCACCTGACCGTTTCACGTTCCTGAATTGTAAAAAGAGCTTGAAAGGTACAGTTGTTAGATCGATCTAGAGGTGAGTTAAGCAGCAAAAATTGGTTTAATGGCTACACGTAAAAGGTTTTTTGAAGGCTTACAGAAACTACGGACAAGATGTAACGAATACGTTAAACCTCAATTTGCCTGTGGTGTCAAATGGTTAGAAAATCAGACTAAACGGACGTGTAAGTGGCATAATTACTTCGATACATCCACTAATCTTCGATAGCTACTCTTGTTTAAAATCCCCTGTGATCTTGACAAGAGAACCAACTGAATCCCAGCTGAAACTCTCGTTTGTAGTATTTTCCAACCGAATGTGCTTCCTTTTGTTTCAGTTGGTATAAAACGAGACATCGCAGTATATTTTAGTGGAGACTAATCACAATGTTACTCTAAACCTGCACATTTGATTCTCAGCCTGGCTGAAGAGTGTAGGCCATCGAAGGGTTTTCAGCAGCCTTGAAGTGTTTCCTTTCAAGATGAGACTTTTACACTTTACCTTGTAATCGGTAGGAAGAGAAAACCAAGCTTTAGAGACTTTTACGTCCAATGGGCCTGCCAAGTTTATAAGGCTTTCTTAACACCAAGAGAGGTAGCGTTTTTTCAAACCTCTCTTACCGTTAGCGACTCGTTTAATTTGTTGATTTTGGAACAAATATTGTCCCGGGAAAAAGATCCACGCGAGAGGAAGCCATGAGTATGAAGGTGTAAACATTTCACATCCACACTCTCCCTGATTTTGAAAATAGCTGCTTAACTTCAGGGCCACTTTACTGTCACATTTCTTTGCTTACGTCGAATAGGGAATTTGTTCAACTATAGACCATTGTGCAAAGTAATGCATGCAACGTCGTCGAAACGAGATGCGTCCATATATTCACGCAGAAAGCCGAACACCATAAAAGCATGTAATATCCTCGGTTTCCAACCTAAGCTATCAGAACAGACAACAACAGTCCTCAGAAGAAGCCGACTAGACTGATCGAGAAGCGTAGCTCACTTTATTTTGTAATTCACTACTCATAGGGTTGCTGAAAACCCTTCGACAGCCCACGACCGGTCTCGCTCCTGTTGGGGCTCATCAGGTAAGTACAGTCCCTGAGTTTCCATCATCCATATGTTCTACTTGAAACCAAGTTACAGGAGAGCTGGGTTCCAGGTGAGTCTCTCGAAGAACCAACTTAGTTTGCAAATGAGTGTATATTCGGAGCTAACTTTATTCAGAAAGCATTGCGGTTGGGTAGCGTCTGTTATGACTTTATGAGAAGATGGATCTCATTGTACCACACTTGTAAACAAAAATTGGGAATCATTAGTATGTTCAAATGAAAGATGAATACTCACCGCTTACTAAGGGTGACCCGCTGACCTGTGATTGGATACCTGAGTAAATGAATCAAGTGAGACCAATGAAAATTTGGAACCTAGCTACTGCAACCTTGAAATCCAGCTCAAATTTCATACGGCAGACATCCCTGCGTTCAAATTATGCCCTTAAAGAAACCGTAGTTGACGCCACAGTGTTGAGAGCGTTCAACACGCTGATTGCGAATTTTCATGGGGGAGCGGAAAATGCCCTCCGTTTCTCTCTTGCACTGGACTGTGGACAGGCTTCTCAGCGTTTCCATTCCATGAATTCAGACAACTAACATGTGAGCCTGACTTGGTTCATGACCATCATGATTGATCGGATGTCTTATGAGCAGCAGGGTTTGTCTTTTCAGTTAATCGGTGTTTCGGTATCACACTTAACTGCATTTGCACACACGGTGCGCAACAGTGAAGCCATACGACCAATACGGTGCATCGTATCGAATAAGAAACAACGGTAGTGGACCGCCGCGTACGGGGGGTCACTTAGGCGTGTCCACTCTATGCATTGTGGTCAAGATACTGAAACGTGTTTAACTGAAGTAAATACGACTGTATCTGGTTTGTTCAGCTTGATGTAACCGTACCAATAATATATAAGCAGAGCGCAGCTTTGTGATCAGTTTGTGATCAGTCGACGGTGCACACAAAATCCTCAGCTTTCACTCAAGCAGCTATCATGTCTCACGTGACTCGTGTGCTGTTTTTTACCTTGTATTTGGGACTCTTGGATGGGGCGAGCATCAAATCCATACAATATCAGCAAGAAGGTCCTTCGGTCAGAATCACACAAAAGTCCATACTACCGGGAACAGTGATTTTGCCGTTGCCGAAATCAACCGGGTGTGTAGAAACCAGGGTAGTGATAGTCTCAGGACAAACTCAGCAACAAGGAAATCCACCTACCTCTCAAGGTGACGACTTTCGAGCAGCTGCACGGGGTGCTGCGGATCAACCTGTTGCTGATGCGGTTCCCGTGGATCAAGTGAATATCATGTCTCCAGTGGGTCAACAGGGACAACAGCCTGGTGTAGAAGGCAATGCGGCCCTGGATCAATCTCAGTCACAAGCAAGACCACTTGAACCTACGGCTGGAAACGCACAGGTAGCAGCCCCGGGATTGGTAGATCAGCCTGTTGGTCAACCGAATCCCATGGATCAAACGAATATTGCGGCCCCAGTAGACCAACAAGCACAAATGGCTCTGGAGGCTCCTGCAGCTCTGGACCAAGCTCAAACACAAGCCGGACCATTGGCAGTCCCAGGGGACGGCGCACAGCCTGCGATTCAACCAGTGCCTGCAAATCAACCAGTCAACCAACCGGATCAGGGGAACATCGCGCCAACATTCAATTAGGTGAAGAACACCAAATGATGTGAACAGTTATGTGAACGTGTTATCAGTTTTATGATTTTTGTTACGAACTTGCTTGAACTTATGTTGCGCATCTCCGAGAACTGATTTCAGTGATGGTCGTGTTGTTTGAACGCAAACTAATAAAATGAGCTCTAAAGTGGTCGAATTGCACCTTGTGATTTCAGTGGGTTCAGTAGTGTCATTTCAGTAGTCTGTACACGACAGTGGTATTGGTACTGTTACCACAGCCTATTTGAGAAGCAAAAGGATGGAGAATACCGGAACGGCAACTTCCGTGAGTAGATAAGGTGTGGTAGGGGCACACTAAACGACCAGCGAGTACTGNTATATATATATATATATACGTGCCATTTATAAAATCTTATATATGTAGTAAGCATCTAGTAACTCCTTGGAGCTTAACATAAATTTGTATTGTATCTAAATATCTATTGAATACCTCTTGCTTAGGCTAGCAACAGACCGGGTCAACAATATGCTTTGATCGATCGTTTCGACTGGAGTTGCTAGGGTTAGCCTAACGAGACTTCCCAAACTGAGATCAAATAATTGCAAGGCGGTGAACTACGAAGGGCAAATGCAGTCAACAATACTGTTGACTGTGATATATGCATCCCCTAAACTAACGAAAAACTGTTTAGGTGAGCTTAGGTTACCACTTTGCTCCATGGCTGAACTGTGCCTCTCGGTAAGGAGCAATCGCCTACAGGTGAAGATAAGAGCTGAGTTTGGAGATGAATTCTTAGATAGGGCAAAGTTAGATATGGCAAATCTTTAGTTTGGGCAACATAAGGCCAATTTCGTTGAGATCGTGTGTCGAATGAAAGGATCCTCTGTTACATCGTTGGATCTGAGCAGGTGATCCTGATCCAGGTAACATTGACTCCTGGTAAGTTCTTCGCCTCTCACCAACAGAGCGTCACAGCTGTTCTTCTCCTTATAAAGTGCCACGATTAGCAACGAGGTGGTCGGCTGACTACCTGGACTGATGGTGAGTAACTTGGCCTACCGGAACCAGCAATGGGTCGCCATCTGCGAGAGCCTTACCACCGACTACTGTGCGTGTGTGGGCTCAAAATCGAGCAATGGGGAGCCAAAGTAAAGTAAAGGTAAATTAGGCTCAGAGGCTCAGCAGTAAATCTGGGTGAGGATCAACGAACATTGTCTTCACACTAGATGACCCCATAGCTTGTTTTATAACATGCAAATTTAACATCATGTTCTTATATCACTCTAATTGGAAAGGCTTTTGATAGTGCACACCTGAAAGATCGACCGAAGCGCCTGTCATCTCGTCCATTACTCCTCTGGGACTGGCATTTGAAACTAAATGTCTGACGTGACAAATTTACACCATTAATTCAATGATTCTTAGTCGGACTCATGGCAAGTGTCGACTGAGAACTCCGTCAGGATGCGCAAACCATCCCTGTGCACAAATGAGTGGCTGACGGAATATGTACATTTTTTGTGACCATTATACTCTGTACCATTGTTGGGGAGAAAACGGTGTGGAGTTGTAGGTTGTTATCAACCACAATTCACTTGGATTAGAAGCAGACGTTCCCTCAGAGGTTTGAAATATCATCTGACTGTGTAGTCAGTATGGTCACTTCACTGGTGGTCTGTTGCTATCTTATCCAAACAGCTGTAGTTCATATGTGTATTAGGGTGTTGGCCCGACATACGCTATTCACTACTTACCTAGGAGTTCAACCAGGTTTGTACGGAAATTTGAAAACGGAACCCGTCAAACAGTTTAATAAATGTGTTGCCTGAAGAGGCGTCACAATCTGTGACAAAATCAGAAGTGGTTGCTCGAGAAGCCAGTCGACACGTGTGACCACGTGATGTGGATCCCGTGAAAACAAGATGAGCGGCACTATATCCTGTCNCGAGTTAATCACACTGCTGATCAGCCGCCCGTGGCCGAATGGTTAAGTGTTCAAACTACTAGCCAGAAGGTCTCCGGAGTCTCGCACTGCCGATGATTCCCAATAAGGATGAAACAGCTGTACAGTGAGTGCTTCTCGGCTTTCCAGCATAGATTGGCTTTACTTACAGGACGAAATCTCTACAAAAAGGCTATATATGTACTTCTAATTCTATGTTAGAAAAGTAAATCTTCCAAATGTTTTGGTGGATTGTTTCGATCCAGACACTCGCATCAGGCGGCCTAATTGAACTTTCCAACAGGTTCACAGCGTAGTTGACCGCGACGTGCCAGCGCATGAGATGACCGGATTTAGCAGACACATGTGACGTACGTGATGACATCTTACTGTGTCACTTGGTCAGTGTATTGAGCATTTCGCGTTGTATTGTACTGACCTTTATTGGTGGGTGATCTTGACGTGCAACTTTCCATTCGTGAATACGACAACACCGAACCATTGAATTGTGTGTCAGTCTTTTTTTTAATCTGTTTACGGCAGCATGACATTCGAGTACCATAAGAACCTTCTCAACTATGTCTCCAGTACCGTGATTCACAAGTACACGTTGACGCCACAGGGTTGAAGTTGGCTTTCTTCAAGGTGGTCAAACAGAGTAGTACTGAAAGTGTTATCCACTGAAATGTGCACACAAGTTGATTCGGTGGGCAGCATACACACTACTCCACAACTGAATGTGTTGCACACAGGCTGCCTCATGTCTCAGTTGGCACGATAAACGAGAGATTCAGTTCAGTCTCTCATGAAAACCAAATTGATTTGCAAATGAGTGTAGTTCTTTAAAAACAGTCCAATTTGGGTTCAAGTTGAACATAAGGTTGACGGAAACTCGGGGACTGAACCTACCTGATAAGCCTCAAGAAGAGTGAAACCGGTCGTGGACTGTCGATAAGGTTTTCAGAAACCTTGTGAGTAGTTTCCTTTATGAAATTATACTGCGATATCTCGAATATCGTGCCAACTGAAACATGAGGCGGCCTATGTGCAGCACATTCAGTTGTAGAATATCATAAACGAGTGATTCAGTTGTGTCTCTCGTGAAAACCAAATTGATTTGCAAATGAGTGTACTTCTCGAATACTTTGGGTTTGTTTTTGGGACAAAATAAATCGTTCAGCTGTAACACCTTTCGGTGCCACGCCACCGGAAGGAAGCTCGAGGGGTTGGATACTGCCAAGTTTCCCAAGTCTTGACAGGGAAAGTCGAAATGCACAGGTCGGGGTCGAACCACGGACCTTCCGTTCAGTGAATTAGCGCTTTAACCACTGAGCCATCTCGCCCACATCAGCTGAACAGTACCTTGACGTATTCGGTACAGACAAAACAGAAAGTCTCCGAGAGAAAACCTGATCAAGGTTAGTAAACAGTTAAGATCAGGTGTCTTAAGTGCCCACTGGTTTGCGAAAAGACGGGAAGCTGTCATTCGGTTTTTTCACATACTGCATAACTGCGGATTGGGACAACGAGACGTTATGCCTCCAATCACAACACACGAAAATCCATGCTGACTGGGAGTTGCCGTTAGATCATGCACTACTCAGTCTTTGCAAAAGAAGCTTCTGATCTGATATGGAAATGACAGGTACGGTTTGGTCGCAATCCATAACTGCTAATCTCGAATAGCAGCAGACTCAAAGCTGTATGGGTTGTGAACATGAGAACAGAGACTAGGCGGCTGAGGACTGCAATTAGCGGAGCAAATCAGTCCTTTCTACAACAAATCCATTTGATCTACGAACTTCACTTCACCTAGGTAGTCTATTTTGAGAATATGACAAAGATCCACTTAAGGTTGAGGGGCTGAAATGTCTCAAAGCGTTGCTTCAATGGTTATGTTGCATCTGAAAGGCTTAAATGATATTTTTGGAACAGATTTCAACTGAAAAAAGAGTGGTCGGTTAGTTTCTGGTTAGTTTCTAACAGATGAAAAGCTTCATATAAACTGACAGTGAAAAGTAGCGAAATACAACCATTTGCACACCGGTTCGGTTTTGCGGGAGACTCACATGGAACTCAGCCAACTATCTCGTTTATGATGTTTTAAGCAACTGAATGTGTTGCACCAGGCCGCCTCTTGTTTCAGTTGGTACTGGAAGCGGGAATTTAGGTTAACCAAAAACAAAACGCTTGCGTGTCTCTTCAAATCATTTGCTCAAAATCACCGAAAATCTCCTGTTTGGATGCTGTTGAGTGAAACACGAAAATTTGACACCTTATTAAACATGTGCAAAAGATCTGGAAGATTCCTGAACACTTTTTTGCCACTTTCTTGCCTTAGACATAAGCCTGATGGCCCGAAAGTTCAAAGGGAATGCATCATTTTACAGTAGTTCATCTTTTAATACCTTGCTTGAATTGGATAGCGATAAGAAATTTTGGAGTCTTTTGCGGTTCGGTCTTCGGTTTGACAGTGTTCTAGGAGTCAGTCTAATGGAGAACAAGATACCCAAATTTTACTCTCGGTTAGAGCATGACCTCATTCTTTCTGAGGTTTTAGAAAAACAGCTGGAATCCCTGATTTTTCGCAAGATACTCCCGCGATACATATGAATTTGCAGCCATGATGTGTCTAGTGCTCCATATGATCAATGCCAATAAATGGCGCGCTTACCGTCTGGATTTAAACCACATCGAAGCCGCGTGGAGGAAAAGGTCTACGCGGATGGTGACGCCTTTCATGCACCGCAAAACCTGTGGTCCACCAGAAGTGGGCGAACCCACTCAAACTTTGCTTTCTAGCTATAGCTAATGATGTCGTTACTCATGCGTGCTCCAGTACTCAGCATCTCACTTGAAAAACAAGTTCTTCGGCACTGTGTCTTCTAGTGGGTGCAGAGGGAACGTGCGTGCTCTGCTGCTTGGTTTTTGAACACCTGTGGCCAAAATCATGACGATTTCAGCGTTGCTCAATTTGCATCTACTTTCAAACCAAAAGTAATGTGTTTATATTCGTTCGCCTGTTGATGTCATGCTACGATCAGGGGTTAGAAACTTCACCAGCCAATGCTCACCTGCTTGATTTCA